CCTCCCTCCCTCCCTCCCTCCCTCTCTCTCTCTCTCTCTCTCTCTCTCTCTCTCTCACACACACACACACACACACACACATCCTTTTTACCTTCTCTGTTATTTCTACACTCCATTCTTTCTCCACGACTTCCCTACTCCACCTCCACTAGCTTTTCATGCCACCTCTTCCTCTAGATTATGCACATATTTGCAAACACTTGGACTTGAACTAATCTAGGAGTATTTGCAGTTTGTTTTCTTCTCAGGTGTCAATTGCACAATAGCTTAGTCCTGATTTCAGTAATAACTTCGGGGGAGGGAATCTGCAAACATGCTTTTAGAATAAAGTAAAATAGCACTTGATAAACTTTTGGCTGGATTTCTTTGGTCTGCACTGCCCAAGCTGGACTTGCTTCAGAACATAACTTTTTCAAAACTTAACTTACCGGGAACATTAACAAAGTGTGACTTAATTGACTTAACCTCTCTCTCTCTCTTTTTTTCTTCTTTTTCGTCTTATTTGTTTTCTTTTTGTTTATGTTATGTCCAAGAAAGTCCTCAAATCAACAAAAGACTTGTAGTGGTCAAAAAGAGTTTGTCCAGGGCTGGGATCTGCTGAAACGAATGGCTTTTACCTGATTAAACATTGACAAATAATTAGAAACGGGCTGTTGTACAAATTAACCCAGGAAGGCTGCATACCTGCCCCTGCTTGGACATTTGGACATAAAGACTGTGTTTGAGGCTAAGGGGGGGTGGGCAGGAGGGTGTTCATTGGATCAGAACACAGTGGAGAATACAAGCCAGGCAGTTAGTGGTGGTGAGATAACTTTGGAAGAGCACTGACTCCTAGTGATAGAACTAGAGCCTTTATTGACTCACTTCTTTCAGCTTTGATTATCTGTTTATCAGGAGTGAATTTATGCTCCTCTACTTGGTATTGGAAGCAAAATTTCTTTCATTACATCTGGAACTGATATATATATATCTGTATCTTCTATATCTAAATCCATCTATATATCTGTCTCAAACCATTCAGATCACCATAGGATCCAGCAGCTTTTTAGAAAGGAAGGGACAGAGACTGAGACAAGTATATGATTCAGAAACTAAAATAAAGATGTCAGTCTATATGATGTCATGTCCTGTCCATTTCGGCCTTAGCATTCTGGACTCTTTATCTTTCAGTTATTAGAGACATAATTCAGATATTTTCTATAGAAACCAAATAGTTCTTATATGTTTGAATCATTATGTAGTTTCTTTTACTTAGATCCTGGGTAACTTATTAGTTAGATGGGTATTGCGACACAGAGTATCCTTAGATATTTGTAAATTAGGTCTATCCAATACTAGTCTATTATTTGTTCAGAGGGGCTAAGGAAAATACTGGGTAAACCTAGGAAATGATTTACTTTTAGTAAGTATAATTTTATGATTCAAAAGTTAATGTAGCTCTATACTTAGTACCTTTACTATTTTTGATTCACTGCATGTAATTTCTTTATGATTCTTCCACCCCTTTCCCCCTCCCAATCCCCATCACCCTATCTCCTGGGGACTCCCGCCACTACTGCTCATACTGAATTTCACAGAACACCATTCTGCCTTGCCAAGACGAGTACTTTGTAGGAGGCCAGAGCTATAATTGCCCTTATTCCACTACAACGTCAGAATCTAGTGTTGACGTTTCCACGGAGACTTGGTTCTCTTTCTGGGCTGCTGGTCTCCTGGACAACAGAGAGCCCCAACAAGCACCACAGGCACAGGGTAAGTTCTGCTCTTCTGCTTTTCTAGTAGATCTGGAGCCCTTTCCAGCACCCATGGCTGCAAAGCATTATGGGCTGGGACTCTGTAGAAGAAAGGATGGTATGAGTCTTTGGGCTTACTTAAAAGCCATAAAACCTGCTGTTTTGTACTTGTCAAATGTAAAAATGGGATTCTTCCTCTTCCCTGCTGGACAGCATGTATTTCTCCCTACACTTTACAGTTCTTGGAGATGCCCAACTCACTGATGGAGTTTGGGTTTGTATCAGAGTTTTATAAACAGCACTCTAGCTGGAAGCTTTCAGAATCAAGATACCCGATGGAGCATTTCTTTGGGAATTCAGGAAAGTTTCCCTGAGTATGAGAGAAAAGCAAGAAGAAATACTAGGTATTTTATTTCACAGATGAAATTCTGGGAATAGTGTCTTATAAGTGGAAAAAATGATTCCCTTTTACATGAAAGACTTCAACCTTGGAGAGAAGTATATTGATGGAAAATTACATATTCATTTTGGCCTGGGGCTTAGTAAACAACACTTATAAATATTAAAGGAATTTCTATATTAACATTCAAGTTTTTGGAAAAAATTCTCAGGCACCTAAGAATTAAATATATGTATAGTTGATTCTGCCACATGATTTTTTTGGATTTAAGAAAAGACACAAAGAATCAAAATGAACCCAAAATATTAAAATACACTTAAATGTCAGGAAGGAAGTTGTTTAGCTTTAGCTTTCCACTACAAGTGACAGCAAAAACAGAATGCCCAAGAAAATTAACCCAAACTGTTTATAAAATTTTATTCCTATCTCCTTCTACTTGAGTCAAAAATTTCAGTATAGCAGTTTAAGTAGAGGAATGCAAAAGTCAGAACTATACTAGATGAGGAAAAGAAAGTAACAGTAAACCAATTTAACATGTACAAGAATTGTTTTTATTGACAAATGTAGTTTGCTGCCAAATATGAAAAAAAAAACTCTGAAAAATTATATAACATGCAGATGGAAACAATTGAAACAGATAAGGTTTAAATACAGCTTTGAAATTTTTATCAAGGTCTTCAGAGAAGCAAGGCCCAAATGATTTTAAAGTAGAAAATGCTACCACATAGGATTCTGAATAAATTCTATTAGATTAAATAGGCAGGAGACAGGCAGGGAAAATGGTAGCATCACAAAATAGGATTTTATTATAGAGCTATACACAATATTATCAATTGCTAAAGCTTAAAAAATAAGATAAAAACGAGGGAAACACAGTGGAATTGCAATGTTTTGCCTAGTGGGGGCAGTCAATAAATATTTATTAATTTAACCAGCAGGAAAACATATATCAGGAAAGAATTTGATCCCTTAGCTCCCCCAAAATTTACCTCTTTAACCATTTTGGCAAATAGAGTGTAAATATTTGTCTCTTGCAGCTTGCTTGCATCTTCTGAAAGCTCTAAATATTTTGTTTTTCTGTGTGGAGGCAATAGCTATTTTTAGAAAGGTAATTGAACCTGTTAAACCCTCCAAAATCAATTGGTGAGTTTCTTTATTGCATACAGACTACAAGTGTGTTTTCTCAGTTGACCACTTGGTATTTTCACAGAATCATCCAGTGACTCAAATTTTCCTGTTCTGGAGTCGTGTTCCTGGGAAGAGGCCCAGCTTTCCTCTCAGCTTTACAGAAATAAGCAGGTATGTGTAGATAGTCAGAATGCACCGTGTGCCCTGCAGTCCATTCTCCACGGTCTTCCCTTAATGACATGTAGATTCTTGTCCCTTTTTAAATTCACGTTGACTCAGTTCAGCAGCAAAGTGAGTATGTATCCACAGAGAGATCAATCAAAGTTAGGTGATCAATATCATGGAAAAAATTTTAAGAAAACAACACTCTAGGAAAGACCTGCAGTCAAGCTCTGACTTTACACACTTTAGTTGTATGTCCTCTTGAGTCCTCCTTTTCTTCATCTATGAAATTGAAATATTTGTGCTGCCTATCTCAGAAGCAGCCAAGAATATTTGATCATATCATCAAATGATATAATAAGTGTGATAGTATTTTTAAATCATAAACATAGCTAATCACTGGGAGAAGCAATGGTGATTATAAAAGTTTTTCCAAAGATTGCTCCATTATCTGTTTTGTTCGTTGCTCCTGAGGAGTAATTTAATCTAATGGACATATGGACAGATCAATCAGAGGCTGAGGGAAGCCAACCCACCTCTTTTTTTTTTTTCTTCTTTGATATGCAAGGAGGAAGTCCAGCAAAACCTTTCTAAACATCTTTTTCTATATTTAAGCAGTTGTATACAGCTCATTTTTTTTCATACCTACCTGATTCCCTTGTGGTTATGATTGTTAAAGTCATATAATCTCTTCAAACAATTTGCAATGAATAAAAAATTCAGAACACAAACTGAACAATCAGGTGGTAGGGGGTGTAGATTTAATTTAGTTCTCTGAGGACGAGGGTTCCCTGAAGTTGTGTTTATAAAACAAACAGAAGAATAATCACGTTTCAGCAGGTTAAGGAGCAGTGGCATTATTACAGAGTTACAAAATCAATATAGTGGAGCACCCTTCACCATTGTCTGCTTTTTGCAGCTGCAGGATACGCTGGTGCAGAAGGAAGAAGAACTTGCTAGGTTACATGAAGAGAATAATCACCTCAGGCAATACCTGAATTCTGCTTTGGTTAAATGCCTTGAAGAAAAGGCCAGGGTATGTAACTATCTCCTTTATAAGTACAGTACAGTGATTCGGGAAAGGAGACCATTTATGTAAACTCCTTGAGTAATTGCAAGAAGTGTACTAAACAACATGTCTTGATATGCATTTATAGGAAGGGTGGGTTTTTCTTAAGGAAATATAGCACTTTCACAAGAATTATTATGTATCATTTTTCTGAAGTATCTAGATTGCAGATTTTAGTCATACATTACAAAAGGAGTTGCTTAAGAATCAAAAGCTTGTCAGGGGAATTGCTGAGACAACAGGTTGATCAAAAGGCAGAGTTAGATGGATGGAATACTGCTTTGGGAATTAGATCTGAAAGACACACAGTTCTTTTAAATCTGTTTGACTTTAGGTAAATTACTCTCAGGGACTCAGTTACCTTCAACTGTAAATGCATGAGCTAAATTTTTAAATAATATTTCTGCATCTCAAATGCTATGAATATGGCTTGAGCCCAGATCTCTGGCAATTACGTGCACACAGTTATTGTCTTTTTTTTTTTTTTTTTTTTTTTTTTTTTTTTTGTCTTTTCTGTGACCCGTAAGGGGAACGCAACCCATGGCTTGGTGTCGCCCGCACCGCGCTCAGCCAGTGAGTGCACCAGCCATCCCTATATAGGATCCGAACCCACGGCGGGAGCGCCGCTGCGCACCCAAGCACCGCACTCTCCTGAGTGCGCCACGGGGCCGGCCCCAGTTATTGTCTTTTAATTCATATTCTTTTTGTACACTTTTTAAATGTGCTATTTCTAATTCAAGGATAAATAGCTTACCTATTTTTGTTCTCTTTTTAGTCTCTTTTTGTTCTTCCTTTCTTTGATTTTGTAATTTTTCATTATATATTTGCTGCTATATTATTATTATTGCTTCTATCATTAATCTTTACCCCACTTCTAGACAAGTTACACTATTTGATATTATTTGATCTAAGTTAATGATGCTTCTTGATACTTTTACTGAACATAACAGTTCAGAAAAGAAAAGACACTAGATTTGATTCCTTTACAATTCAGTTGGATTTGTTAAAAAGGGAACACATCTTACATTTATTAGCCTGGGATCCTAACGCTAGCCACCACTCTATAAAAAGGACATTTATTAAATTATTAAGTGATATTAATTAGGCAGTTTTATCTATCTTGGTCTCCATTTTCCAAGATTTAGAATAATATAACTACACATCTCAAGGAAGTGATTTAAAAGTTAATAAAATAAGAGAATTCAGTGTTATATACTGTTTAAATCAAAGATTCCATATAGATTCAAATGGCTAGAATTTAAATCTGTGCTGCATAATCCTCAGCAGGTCACTAATATGTCTGTACCATAGTTTCCTCATTAATTAATATTTTAATAGCATCTATATCCAATGAGGTAATGTACATAATCAATGATTTAGAACTATAATAAATGATAGTTGTTTATTTATAAATGATAGCTCAACATGTAATAGTTGCTATAATAATAATAATAATGATAATAATAATTACTTCTCTGAGATGAAATCTTAAAGACATCATCTTCTTTTTCAACTTTTAAAAAATAGAGTAAAAAATACGAGTTAGAGTTTCTAGGCAGGAACTGGTCATTATAGATCTTACTTTACATACAAGAGCCAATCCAATCAGTTTTATTGTGTGTGAAAAAAACAGAAATTTAATCATTTTTTCTAAAGAATTAAGGTAGCTAGTAAATATTTGAAGGGGGTTTAACTTTTAAAAATGACTTCCCTAGAAACTGCTGTCATCAGATGAGTTCTCCAAAGCATGTGGAAAATTCAGAAAGGGGAAGAGAAAACCCAAAGGGCAAAGATACTCTTCGGCTGAGATTCTCCATCCCAAAACTGCCAAGAGAAACCTCTCTAGTGAATTTGCTACCTGTGAAGAACAAACTGGGCCCCCTGTGGATCCCTGGGTCCTTCGAACTCTTGGGTTAAAAGACTTCAACACCATTGATGACACCTTATCAGCTAACTACAGTGCCTTCTCCTCTCATCCCAGAAGAGTCACCAGCACATTTTTCCAGTTTCCAGATGATGCAGTTGATTATGAAAATGTCCCCAGAGAGAATCTGCCGACTGACTACGGAGGTGACAGAACAAACCCCACGCACAGCACTGCCAGCCATGGGGAAGATTTTCACCTCCTTTCTCCACTTTCAAATTCCCCAGTGGGGCTGCAAACTCTTCCTTACCATGCTGCTGATGTGTCACCCAACAAGACAGAGATGGCCTTTTCTACATCCCTGAGCCCCCACTGCAATGTGAAAACTCATTCCTTCCACCAGGGACAAGCCTTTGTGCGTCGAGATGAGGAGGGAGGCTGGAAGTTTACCTGGGTCCCTAAACAGTCTTAGTGACCCCTCTTCTATCTTGAAGCACTGCCATGAACTCTGTTTACAAAGACCTCTCTTGCACTTGAACCTGACTGTGTGGAACACAGAAGCTATTGCCCAGACTCTCTCCTGCCACTTTAAATGTCTCGCTCAATTACCCACTTAAATCTGCAGGGTTTTGGCTTCTAAGAATCCATAATGAAAAACATTTGTTCTTCTTTCACTTAAATTTGACTTGTTTACACACCAACACCTGCTGTTGACTTCCTCCCTTTGCCCTCTACTTAAAAAGGTATTTTCCAATCACTTGAACATTCCTTCAAGACCTAGATATGCTTTTCCAATTACAGCTAGTTTAACAGCTTTTCTTCTTTCCTCAAGCAGTTTAAATGTTCAAAACCCTTTAAGTATTCCTCCTTTCCTGATGTTCTTCATTCTTGAAAACTGCCGTTAGAATGCACCCTATTATTGCTTCAAGTATTTTTACTGACTGTTCAATTAGCTGGGGGTGGGGTAGAAACAAGTGTCTTTGCCCATCACCACTACCGAAAACATAATGTGGATGTAGTAATGTTATGTCCATGGCAACTCAAAAAGTTGAGTGTCCATGGAAATGTTGGCAAAGAGTGTCTTAAAACAACTGTAACTATACTGATAAGCAATACCACTGATAAATTAAAAAAAATGTAAGGGGCGTTAAAGTTACTTCAAAATGCCCCATGGTGCATCACCTTCTGTAGGCACCTTGCATTGTTTCTTTAACTAACATGGCTCAAACAAAAATATTTTTGAGGGACTGTGGTAACACAACAAGTCATTATTCTAAACTACCCAGATGCTGATAAACTCATTCCTGGAAGTACAGTCTAGCCTATATCTGCCATCATCTCACTCAGTCATTCACATATTCATACTTTCACTCATCACTTCACCCCAAGCATTTCTGGAATACCTAATACCTATTTTGTACCTGGCACTGTGCTATGGGTAGTGATAAAATGTGAGCAGTTTAGACACTGTGGCCACCCTCATGAGACTTAGAGCCACTCATCTGCTGTGACCTGGAGAAAGCTACTTCTGTGGTGTGAAGATTCAGTTTTCCCAGCAGCAGAATACAGAAGTTGGGTTCGATAATTGCTAATATACTATGAATTGAGGCTGGTCTAGTCAGCTTTATTCCAACACAACAATCCCAGGTCATTTCTCTCTCTAGCTTAGATGGGCGCTGCAAATATTATGTAGTGTGAACTTATATACAAATAAAAAGAAAGAAAAACAAATATTAGCCATTTGTAGTTAACATTAGAAATCTGATCACAATATTCTTTTTCTAGTATGAGCCCATTTTTCAGGTTAATTCAGTCTGTGTGAGAATAACTTTCATCGAAAAAATAGACACATATTAATTTTTAAATAAGTGTGCATAGATCGAACGCAGATATTAACATCAAGGATTTTTTTCTTTGTAAATTAAGAAAAAAGTATTTTAAGTAGTCGTGCTAGTTTCCTCTTTCCCATCCCTCAAGATCCCTATCATTCCTAGAATAATTTACACATCAAAGATGTGACCACAGTTTTTGGAGAAACGTTATTTAATGATGAAATCCACCATGTTGAAGCCCTTCCGATTTTTCTATTTTTCACCTCTCAGTCAACCACCTTGCACAATGAATGTCTTAGTACACCAGTGTGCTGTTTGGACTTCTTTTTAACAAATGCGTGTGTTTTTTGTTGTTGCTATGTGGCTGTTGCTTTATTTTGGTGATGTGAGCAAAGAATTCTGTTTTATAAAGTTTTGTTACCCGGTTTTCTTTATAATCCATGAAGGGGAAATCCAAGATAGTAATATTATTCTCTGGAGTATTTTCATGACTTAAGAAGAAATAGAACACATTCTATTTTCTAAAAAAAAAAGTGCCTTTTACATTCTAGTATCTGTGCCCCTGGTGAGTAAACTAGATCTCTTCTTAGAATGACAAATTAGAATTGATTGTACTTTACTGCACTAGAAATTGGAAAAGCAATACAACTATTTTGAAAGTCTAATGATCAAGTTGTAAAACAAAATCGATCAGTTCAAACATATCCATGTTGTATTCTTTATGTGCCTTATCATGTGTTAAGTACCATGAGGAAACACCCAGGCTTAGCACAGTCCGTTTGGCACATGAAACAAAACCACATAAAATGTCATACTTTTGATTGCTTTTAAATGATACTTGGTCTCAGCCTGAATTAAAGAAATTACAGCACATTTGCGATCAATTATAATCACTTGTTCTGGCTTATATCATGGATGGTAGTATGGAAGAAAGTTACCACGTGTTCTTGTAATCATGACTACAGACATTTGATATTCACTTGAATTATGTATAGAAAATTATTTTGTTGATGTTTGAGAAAATCAAAATTTCTTTCACCTGAGTATATGTTCTAACTTTTATGGTTTTACTATGTCTCTCTAGTAAAGCACAGTTAATTTTTGTTAAGATAAATCCAAAAATAAAAACTAAAATACTTTTGTGATTGTGATGAACATTTTTATATTGTGTATAACATTTTCTAATGACAGATTTTCTTCTCCTGGGTTGTTACCATAATCCTGTTTGCACCATAATCCTGTTTTGTGTGATGTATATGGCCAGACTGGTATCTTCAGCATTTAGGGCTTAATGAATTTTTCCCTTCTCCAGGATACATTAACGAGGTTTCAGATGTTAAGGTTTAAGGAGTTCAGTGCCTTATGAGTACGTCACTCTTACCTAATCTCATATAAAAATTAGATTCAGTATCAATTTTTAAAATTTGATGACATTTCCAATGTCCTCTGAACATCTGAAAATAAAAATAATTCTTGTATCTCACTAGTATCTGGAAAGTAAAGACAAGTAGAAAGCCTCAGAAATGCAGATGATTTTTCTTTATTGAAAAATAAGGGCTGAGCCCATGGCACACTCGGGAGAGTGCGGCGCTGGGAGCACAGCAGTGCTCCCGCCACGGGTTCGGATCCTATATAGGGATGACTGGTGCGCTCACAGTGCTCACTGGCTGAGGGCGGTGTGGCCGGTCTCAAAAAGGACAAAAAAAAAACCCCCCAAAAAACTGAGTTAACATATTTGTGGGGTGCAGAGTTGAATGTCAATCCCTGTGTACAATGTGTCATGACGGAATCAGGATAATTAGTATGTTCATCATTACAATACATAATGATTCCTTGTGTCCATTAATCAATTTCTCATTAGCCTGCAGATGACATTTAATGAGTGGGATTATTTAAGACTTCAGTGATGCTAAACAATAATTTTGAAAAATTTGAAGAAAAATAATGTACTTCAGTGAAAGAATTGCTCTAGTTGATCTAATTAAAGAAAATGAAAATTTTTTTAAAGTGTGAAAAGGATTTCAACAACTGACCTATATCACAGATGCAGAGGACAGTATAGAGTTAATATATACAGTGATAATTTTTTGATAAGTTTTACTTCTTGCCTGTAAAGTTAGAATATAAAATTATACATTTGTTTCAGCTTACCAAAAAATTCACATATGGTTAAATATATCAAATGTCTCACGTTTTTCCTTTTTCACTAAAGCAAATAGAATTGGTTTACAAGCTACAAATATATGGTGTATGTTTCTTAACATGTTTTCTATACTTTTATCTATATTTTTGTTACATGAGCATAACCTGACATCCAGATTTACTTTTTCTATTGAATATTCTACAACTGTAAAATATAATTTAACAGTTAATATTTTCAATGATATGATTCTTTGTGATTTGAGATATTTCTAATTGTATGTAAGAGTCAATTTTGTAATGAATTTATGGTTAATAAAAATGACAAAAATGTATTTAATCCCACTTTTGGCCCTTATTTTAGAAACATTTTTCAGTGAATGGAGCAATGGACCAAGAAAACGTACCCATTTCTGCTATAAATTTTATGTTATAGAAAAAAATATGTATTTTAATTTCCAAATGCATGATTAATCATTGAGGCATTTATTCAACAGATATAGCCTGTGTCAGGGTCTGTTGAGGATATGATGATGAAATATGTATTAAAACTAACTTGGCTATAAATGAGACAATCATTACTTAAACAGCCTTAATCAAAGCAAGGGAATAATTGGCTGTCAAAATTGCAAAGTTTATGTTTCTAGTATGGTTGGATTTAGATGCTCAAGAAATGTTGTCAGGAATCTGGTCTGGGATTTCAAGGACAGCTATGATTAAAAATGAATACTTGAACAGTGTTAAGATAGTACTCATCACACAAAAGCATGACAAAAACCAGGATGGGACAAGCTCTGTGTACTTGAAGAGCAAACTACATCTCATACAATATTCTCTAGTTTTGTGATATTTTCTTTGTCCTCTCCATTTATAATTCCCCCAAAATGAATAAAGCCTCACGTAAATGTTCGAGGTTGTCTCAGTTACACCATGGGGAATTATGAAAAGACTGGGATATCTGTATATAAAAATTGTGAACAGGATTTCCCTGAGGCCACTACATAGACCATATATGCCTAAGGGGAAAATTAATATTGAGAGAAAATAGTTTGGGACTTGCATATCAGGCCAGTAATATATCTCTATGTGGAGATTCTCCTGTTAACAGTCATGGATAACCTGGATTTTATTTGGTTTCTTTACAATGGTATTTGTTTTATTCCCCCCTTGGAGAAAACACTATGTAAACCACACACACTTTTTTTTTTTTCATGATTTGCTGGTCTAGGGATCTGAACCATTGACCTTGGTGTTACAAGACCATGCTCTAATCAACTGAGCTAACCAGCCAGCCAAAACTTCACTCACTCTAAATGACCCCTGAATATGGATATAATAAATACAGGTTATTGGAAACATCAGAATGAGTTAGCTGTCTTGGTTTTCATTACAACAATGAGAAAACTGGTTCTGAGCATTATCTGGGCCATATTATAGTAGGTAGTTGAGGCCCAGGATTAAACCTGGCACTGACTTTAGGTCTAATGCCCTTTCTACTATA